AAGACTTGCAATAGAAGGAATGTGTCCCTGAGCCGGGCCGAGTTGAAACACGGGAGACACGCGGCCGGGCCCATCTCAGCAAAACTCCACGCATCCTGAGACGGTGGCACACGGGGGGGGGTCCTTTAAAGAGACAAAACGTCCCCCGGCTTTTCTGAAAACCTTCACAGGTGGGGAGGGGGGGTGCCTGGTGATGGCCCGCAAGACCTTTTCCCCCCTCTGCCTGCCAAGAATGAATGGAAAGTTCAATTAAGTAGCAGCCAGGGTGGCCCGTGGCTGTGATATTGCTGGAGAATGTGAGAACCGTCAATATTCTGACGCTCACACATCAGCCCTTGGAGAGGAGGACCAAAGACAATGTTGTTTTTGGTTTTTTCGTCGCGAACGAACAGCCTGCAGCTGGCAAAAAACTTAACCGTTGTTTTAACTGCTCTGCCAATTTGGCATTGGATTGTTTTTTTTAAACTATTAACTACATAGTAACCAATGTGACGCAGTTAACTCGATAAGCAAATCACCATTAATCGATTGGTCTCGAGCCATTATTGCGTCATAGACGTCCATAGCCACGACGCGAGAGAGGCTGTTTCAAATTATTAAATAATCTACAACTTTTCTACAATGCATCGCTTCATAATCTATCTAGCATATGCATCGTGTATATATTACATATAAAACATTAAATAACATTCCTCACCCGTGTAAACCTTTTGCAAATGTTGATTTAACAAAGTTGGTCACACTGTCTTCGCCCCGCCGGGTGCCCAAGGGGTCGCCCTCCTGTCCTGAATCCGGCAGCGCGCTTTGATCGAGAACTTTCGACGACGCCACGGGAACGGCGAAGGCGCGGCCCGGACGCCGCCACGCTCGGCCGCTCGTGGAAAGGCGCGAGACGACGGTCGGATCGTGACGACGACGGTCGGATCGTGACGACGACGGTCGGATCGTGACGACGGCCGCCCAAGTGTCACGGCGGCGCTGCGACCCCCTCCCCGCCGCCCCCCTCCAAGAGACTCGACCGAAATCGACTGCCAAGTGGGGGAGACTTGCAAAGTGGCTCTGGCCGCGATAGTCTGTCCCTCACAGCAGTGGTTCTCAACCTTTTGTTGGCGACTGTACCCACTCTCCTCCCCCCCCCCCCCCCTTGTTGAATTGTGTTTCAACCACAAGCAGCCCCCCTTGCCTGGCCCCCAACGTGGTTCTGAGAAACAAACGTAGGAATAATGAACGTCAATATTTTAACCGATTGTCAATGTATTTTGAGGTATCCGAAACTAGCGAGGAACTGCAAGCGAATTAAAAACAAAAGTCAACGGACGCTCTTCATGCGTGAAGTAATCTGTTCGCGCTCGCTGGCTACTCTTGGAAAACGGCATTGTGTACGATCAGTGAGTTTATAAAGGTCTTTTATATCGTTAGAGGTTACCATATGGATTAAAATGTTATCGTAGTTATTTCATATTGGTAGATTCATCATACATGATTATTCACCAATCACTCTCATGTATGATATAATTTAAAACATTTATAAATCACCCCACAAAGCCCCTTGGGACATTGCCGCGTACCGCCAGGGGTCCGCGTCCCCCCGGTTGAGAACCACTGCCACCTTACGCATAGGCAAGCATTGTTATAGTTATCAATGCCTTTAATAGTAAGGCATTCCTAACAATAATCCATTAAATTTTGATTTAAAGCTTTCGTGACTGCAGTAATTCATATTCTTAGTTTTTTCGGTAAAGTCACGTTGAAGAGAAACAACAAAATAACAAAATATATATAAAACAATAAAAAATTCTCACGACGTTTCGACCATAACTCAAACGGTCATCATCAGGTGTGAGTTATGGTCGAAACGTCGTGAGAATTTTTTATTGTTTTATATATATTTTGTTATTTTGTTGTTTCTCTTCAACGTGACTTTACAGAAAAAACTAAGAATAATAATCCATTACATAGATTTTGGGAAGAGCAAAAAAACAAAAACAAACCCAACTCTCCTGAAGTCTTCTCGTGGCGGGCACACAACCATTGGCCTCAGCCCCTGACACACATTGCCATACGTGAGCATAAAACAGAACCGTTAACATGTAAGATTCCCAAAAAAGACAAGATCTTTAGTTTATAAACATCAAACGCCATCGGTGTATGGAATGATTTTGAAACTGTAAAACCATAGCAGTAAACGGAAGAAAAGTAAAATTAAACGTGGGGAAATTAAATGCCATCGGTTGAACCCCACGGGCTGAAGTCACACTGGGGATAGCCGTGCCCTCTCTGCGCATCAGCAATGCTTAAGGTCCCACACTGAGGATTGTCGCGACCTCTACAACGCACTGTCAGTCCACTGCTGCATGAAGGCTTTCCCCCACACTGTGGTGTCTTTCTGGACATACTACTGAGATCTGAGAAAAATATATTTATAGCCCATCAGATTCCTCCAGTGTAAATACATATTCTAATTCTATGTCGTACACGGGGGGGGGGGGGCGTTTGACCGGACTGCAATGCGCTCGTCAGTGCGAGCTGGTGAAGGGGGCGTGCATCCATGACCGATTCCGATGACAGTCACCACTGACGTTAGCTTTGGCCGGGAATCTAACTCGGGGTTGCCGGGTTTGTACCGCAGTGCGCTAACCACTGCCCCAACCGCTCCTCCCCTCCAGCCGCAAGGGTGCGAGTTCCCGAACGAGCGGGCGGCGAGTTCCACGCCGCCATCAACCGCACGCCGTTGGTGTATTTACTTGTCAGCAACGCCGCCAATCGAGAAACGTGGCCGCCACGCGGAACCGGCACCTTGGCTTCCACAGGTTGCCTCACTCTGCCCGCGGTGCCACACTCAAGGTGGTTTCGGAACAGTGCGACGTCAAGGATCGGTGTGTGGACCATGTGCAGCATGGGCCACGTGCAGCACGGACCAAGTGCAGCACGGGCCACGTGCAGCACGGACCACGTGCAGCGTGGACCATGTGCAGCATGGACCACGTGCAGCACGGACCATGTGCAGCATGGACCATGTGCAGCGTGGACCACGTGCAGCGTGGACCACGTGCAGCATGGACCACGTGCAGCACGGACCACGTGCAGCACGGACCACGTGCAGCGTGGACCATGTGCAGCATGGACCAAGTGCAACATGGGCCACGTGCAACATGGACCACGTGCAGCATGGGCCAGGTGCAGCATGGACCACGTGCAGCATGGAACCATGTGCAGCATGGACCACGTGCAGCGTGGACCACGTGCAGCGTGGACCACGTGCAGCGTGGACCACGTGCAGCATGGACCACGTGCAGCACGGACCACGTGCAGCACGGACCACGTGCAGCACGGGCCATGTGCAGCACGGGCCACGTGCAGCATGGGCCACGTGCAGCATGGGCCACGTGCAGCATGGGCCACGTGCAGCATGGGCCACGTGCAGCATGGCTGGCGGCGGCAAGAGTCGACCGGCAGAACTCAGCAGCTGCATTGCAGCAGCTGGCACGGCACTCGACCGAGTCTGCTTAGCAGCCTCACCGAGTTTCCGATGACACCTACAAGCCACACATACGTGCACGCACAGCCCCTGCCGATCCGCTGATGGATGAGGGCCCCCCGACACACCGTGTAGGCCGTGGGGGGGGTTATTTGACCATACTTCACCATGCTAGCCTGTCCACAATACAGGTTTTTTTTGGGTCTGATCGCGAAAATGTTGTTAAACCCGCCACCACCCGACACAGCCAATTAGTAAGGTTTGTCACGTAAACAGAACGTGCCAATTCGTCACTAGTACAGCACACCGGTGTGTTGGAGAGCAAAGCCACAACATTTACAATCCGAGTATGACGTTTCGCCAGTAATTACAACTAGCTTCTTTAGGCGACAGCCAGATTTGTGGAGAAATCCTCCTGTTTCGTTCCTTAAACAGAGGCGTCGATGTGATGACATCACTTGTAAGCACTTCTTGTGCAAAGTGGGGGGGGGATTAATGAATGTATTTCAATGAATAGTACAGTACAATGGATTTTGCTCGTTACAAGCTACTGGGGTGTGTGAACAACGTAGCCCTGGAAGTCTTAGATAAATAATGGCCAAATGCCTGCCAGTTGGTAACACTTAGGAACTACTTGTTTAACATTTAGTTATAGTGAAAGTGGTAAACATCTCTCCACTGGTGACCATGAGCCATGTGGCAGAAATTCCACAATCCCAAGGCAAGAGGTGGACATCTCCATGGGATAAGCATAATTTACTTTTTAACAAGATGGTACTTAATTTATAGCTCTTGGAAGGATGATGGGCTGAGTCGACCTCCCCGAACACGATTTGAATTGCAATTTTCTCATGGCGAGTCATGAACTTTAGCGACTGTGGTAGTATAGAACAGACCGTACAACATACGACGACAATGCCCGATCTACAAATGCGAAGGAGATGGTGATACACTCCGCGCTGCTCCTGATGCGGTTATCTGCTGGCTTGGCCGCCTGGATGTGAAATTGTATTTGTTGTCTCTGCATCTACATCAGTAGCCGTACGAAAGAAGAAATTGAATTTAACCAGCCAGCACACCACCTTTGTTTAAAACACGATTTAAAAAAAAAAAGCGACACTAATATTGCCCATGTGTTGACCCCTTGAGAACAGCTTTAATGACGACACTTTGTAACTTCTGCTTCACTTGCTCTCTTTCGGTCCCATAACGATCACGTGGAGCAGCTTCGAGCCTCTGAACACGGGCGCACGTGGACGATTGCCGGTGATCTCACGGCAGTGAGGATTGGAGAGCGCTGCAGGAACGAGGGTGCGCATGCAATCAGGGATTGGGCTGCGGTGGGCGTGGGAAACAAGCGTCGGATGTTTCGACAAACTTAAAACTATCTTTATCACTTTAGCAGCTAAGGCCCACTGAGCTAGACAGCTCTTTTTTTGCAGAAGCGACCTGGCCACAAATGATAGCTCAATTAAGCGGCTTATCACGTGTTAATGTATAGGCGCCAAATACTCTGAACAAGAGCTCATTCTAAATGCGGAGGGAAAAACCGGAGGACCCGCAGAAAAATCCACCCGACCACGGGGAGAGAGACAGCGCAAACTCCAAATATTAAGACGTCAGGGTTGGGATCGAACCCACGGCCTTCACCGAACATTGAGCAGCCCACACTATCCCGCTGCCGCTTTGCTGCAAGATGTGTGCGTGTACGCGCGTGAATCAGACAATGCGAATTAGTGAATCACCAAAATTTACAAGCTTCCCAAACACAAGTCTTTTGCTGCTTGAGTTTAGTTTTTGTCACTTGCTGGGATATATTTTTGCTGGCTGTAGACTGTCCATGCCGCCGTGGCGAGATGTTAACTCCATCACCTGGTATGCAGGAAGTTGCGGGTTCGATCCCGACCCTGACGCCTAAATATATTTGGAGTTTGCATGTTCTCCTTGTGGTCGCGTGGACTTTTCTCCAGGTTCTCCGGTTTTTCCCTCCACACTTAGCATCAACATGCGTTTAGCGTAACTGTATATTTCCACATAAGCCACTTTGTTGATCTATTGTGAATAGGTTACGATCAAAAGTTTATAGATGTTTATGAGACATTTCGTGGCATCATCAAGAAGGCCACTTGTGTTGCGGCCGAAACGCCGTGAGAATTTTATTGTGTTATTTTATTTGATTAATTTATTACTTGATCCTCATTCTACGTGACTTTACCGAAAGAACCAAAGAAGATCATCACCGTAGTCCAGTAAACTCACAACGGAGAATCCTTGAGGTCAGAACAAGAAACTTTCTACGACTGTAAATTGTATTTTTTGCTGGGAGACTACACACCACCACCACTGTGGTACTTATTTTATAGACCTTGGAAGGATGATGGGCACCTTCCTGTCCTGGGGGTTTACGTAACACGAGCCATTCTCCTTCACCCCCCCCACGGTTTGAGGAACCCTCACCAACCAGGTTCATACTTCGACTCAAGAAGAGATTATTCGTTGTCTCGGCTGTGCCATCTCACATTTGTGTCGTCTTTCTCACCCGTCTAGTCTCTCGTCTGTTCCGCCTCGTTCGGCACGCGAGCATAAACAAGTAACACTTTCATGTAACATGGACCAAACAGAATTGTTAACGGGACGATTCAAATCTTGTACCATGAAAATAACCATCTACTTTAATAAATGAAAAATTATTTGCCCAACGTGGCATTTACATTTTAGGTGTAGAATCCATTCGTAATCAAGTGCATTGCTTTATCCCACGCATAGAGATGAATTTCCGCCAGGTTACCCCACTGCAGTTAATGCAGGTGTGAAAGGGATGAGACTTACCGTGGGGCTTACATCGAGTAGTTAACACCAGGCATTCTCAGCCCACAGTTCTCATGACCCACCACGGAGAATCTTTTTGCTTACGTGCATGCGACATGTAACGGCTTCCTTTATACTTCTGCGAAAAGAGTGGTAAGTGCGGAGAGATCACCGAGGCGGGGCATGATGGCAGGAGGTTCATAAATCTGGCGAGAGTGAATCCTCGTGCAGACAGAACTTATTGCCTCCGCGTGACATAGTGAGTTCCAGGTTCAAACACCAAGCTGTTGCTGCCGATAGATTTCATGTGACAACCACGTGAAGACTGAAGTTACTTCTGCACAATTTCTCCGTCAAAGTTCGGACAGAATTTGCTGTCGCCGGGTTTCACACTTCGTACGTTGCTTCTATCAGGTATTGTAGATGAAGCCATTGGACAGAAGCTCCTGCTGCCAGATTTACTGGTACAGACAGGAGCTGCTTCTGCAAGATTCTCCGCACGGTCTCAGACAGGGGTTGTCACTGCCAAGTTACAAAGCAAGAATCCAGGTGCGAACGAAGCTCACCACCAGGGCCATGGTGTCAAAGTGCAGGGCCTTAGGCCACCCGCGGGGTCGGTCTGTGGATCCGCGTTACACGAGCTTCTATTCGCCTCCCGTGCCAGCCCAAGTCCACGGTCTCGGCTCCTCCTCTCTTCCCATCTCTCCCGGCTCCCCCCCCCCCACCCCCCCGCCGTCTCTGTCAAGGTCTCTGGCGACTGCACTGCCAGGCGGAGGGACCCAGCTGCTGCAGCCTCCTCATGCGTGGCCCCAGCAGCAGCCACCAGAGGACGCCGAGCAGCACGCAGAGAGCCGACTCCACGTAGTAGCCGTCCCGTGTCGTCACGCAGGAGCCGCCCGCCTCCACGCAGAGCTGTGGAGAGACACGCGCGCGCGATTTTGTTAGATCGGGGCAAACTCCAGGGGGGCGAATGGGGGGAGGGTTTTTTTGTTGTTGTTAAAACTATAATCAGTGGCGTGGCTGTCGAGTGTGCAGGCGGTGCAACTGCACCAGGGCCCCGCGACTCAAGATGGGCCCGGGGATATATTTTGTCGCCGGTTTTAAAATACAGCTCAACAACCATACTGGCAGTGAGCACAACCTGGCAGTGGACCTGCCCGCTGCCTTAAATAAGGCGAGGGCATCAGAACACCAGGATGCAAATGCCCCACGAGGTGGAAGGCAGTGTTACAGGAACCCACGGTATGATTCACGAACCCACGGTGCAACGCAAAATTATTTTTTAATCGAGACGAGACAGTTTAACACGTAGACTTCCGCGACCAATATGATCTATAGAAGAGGTTAGATCGCGTAAAAGTTGTGGGTTTACTCTCCAACACACCGGTGTGCTGAACTAGTAACTACTTGACAAGCTTTGGTTACGTGACAAACATTACTTTACCAATCGGCTGTGTCGGGTGGTGGCGGGTTGAACGGCGCATTTATATTTAAGCGATCTAACCCCAAAAAAAAAACCTCTAATGTGGATAAAACCATACTACAACAACCTCGTGGTTTTGGCAAAACTATCGTCACCTATCTTTACAATTGTAAAGCCTGTATGTGTGCGGGTAGCTGTCGAATGTGCAGGCGGTGCACCTGCACCGGGGCCCATGGGGCCAAAAGGGGGCCCAAGGCACGGGCTGCAAAGAGGGGGGGGGAAATGATGAAGGAGCCCTAGCACCAGGGGCAGAGCCACAGGGGAGGCTGGGAGGGCTGAGCCCCCCCTGAAATTCTGGGAAAGTCGGTAATCGGAATAACCGGATATCCGGCTGCTGCAAAATGCAGGCTGCCACCTTGTGCTGCCCTGCAGGCTGCTTGAGCGGCAGCCTTTCGAACTTATCGAACTTATTAGCCGCATTAGCGACTCCGACCTATTAATAAACTCCGTGTTCAAATACAATAAAGTTTGTTTTATACATTTGTGGCTCATTGGAAAACATAAACTGGATATCTCAGAATAGTGAAGTCAGCCCCCCCCAAACTCAAAATCCTGGCTCCGCCCCTGCGTAGCACCGGGGCCGCCTGTTCCAACCGCGCTACGCCGATGATTACAATTGTGAAGTCGGCGTTGGAAATGAAGACATTTTAATTTGAGAATTACAGCAACACATCATTGTGCCAGAGAATGGCCTCAGAAGTTGATATTGCAGAAATACTTCTGAAGTCAATTTATGCACACCAACACACATTTGCACATACATTGAGACATGCCCACAAAGACAAAAATCCCCCCGTATAGCCTGCACAGACTGCCGGGGCAAGCGCTGTTAGCGAGCACCTATGAAGGCTGGCACAGCACGCGAGGGGATGGGTGGCCAGCACCACGCCTCGGACACAGACGCACCGAAGACACGCCAAAACACAAAGTCACACGCTCGCACGCACGCACCTGCACGTCGCCGGGCGAGTCGCACGCGAGCCCCGTGGCGCCGGCGCACGCCCTGCTCGTGAGCGGCTCCACCATCCACAGCGCCAGCGTGGCCGGCCAGTTCCCGCCCAGGTTGGACAGCGTGTTGAGCAGCGTCATGTAGGTGCCGCCGATCATCGGGTCGCTCACCTTGGCGTTGAACGCCATCACGGCCACGAACATGCTGTACACGGCCACCTGTGCCGGGGCAGTGCAGGGAGGGGGTCACGGGGTCACGGGGAGGGGGCCACAGGGTTGGGGAGAGGGGTCGCGGTGCAGGGGTCGCGGCGTGGGGGTCGCGGTGTGGGGGTCGCGGTGCAGGGGTCGCGGTGCGGGGGTCGCGGCGTGTGCTCTCACCTGGTGCAGGGCATACGCCAGCAGGATGATGCCATAGTAGTACGACGGGAAGCCGGACTCGGACTTCACGCTGGGCGTCCACCACACGAGCAGCGCGAAGCCCAGCCCCATGAGCAGCCTGCGTCCGGCAAGGGCGTTTGCGTTAGGGCCCGCGGGGGCACTGTTGGCCATGCTAGCGCTCAGACTTGGCAGGCAGTTCGGGGTCTGCGTTACCAATAAAGACGCGCTTTCAAGTGCGCGTCTGCGGCCGTCTGGAACGCTCTTCTTTCCTATATTAGGAAGCCACTGGAGCAATGCACTTTTAAATCATCTAGATTGAATACCAGTCTCTTCAGAACAGCACGGTTGGCTACGTACAGCGCGAAATAAGTTCAACATACATACAGGACGCTCGGCTCTGAACCAACTTGGCCCAACGGCATCATCATCATCGTGTCAGCATCAATAAGTTAAGTGTCAATTCTTAAGTCAATTAGAGTTGGAATGGCCACAGGAAATATGGAATTTCCACCACCATCAACGGTGAGAGGAGCCCTGGGCTCATTTGAGCAGAGAGATGCTTTGACTCCACTTTGAGGGACTTGATCTGCAGTGACTGAGCCAGCGCATAACCGGCTCAAACGCCCAGGACTTAACGCTGCTCAAACGATTCACAGTAGCAGATAAAACTCGCTCTGGCGGTGGCTTATTCGTGAAACAGGCAAGGCTTTTGAAATCCCTTTCTACTCATAGCTCCTTCGACAATATGATTTTCAAAATCGACTAAGCAAATTGCTGACATCGCCTCCACCCCGTTTAGGTTTTAACACCATCATCTATCTCGGAGCAGCCATTCCGGAGCGGCGGCAAAACGCGGAGAGATTCGGGGAGCGGTCGCGGTGGCAAAACGCGGAGAGATTCGGGGAGCGGTCGCGGTGGCAAAACGCGGAGAGATTCGAGGAGCGGTCGCGGTGGCAAAACGCGGAGAGATTCGGGGAGCGGTCGCGGTGGCAAAACGCGGAGAGATTCGGGGAGCGGTCGCGGTGGCAAAACGCGGAGAGATTCGGGGAGCGGTCGCGGTGGCAAAACGCGGAGAGATTCGGGGAGCGGTCGCGGTGGCAAAACGCGGAGAGATTCGGGGAGCGGTCGCGGTGGCTGGCGGAGTGCCTACCTGTAGGGCATGGCCTTGAGCATGATGTCGAGCGGGCGAGGCCCCGCCGTGTACTTGCTGATGAGCAGGGGCAGCACGATCTGCAGGGGCACCATGGGCAAGGCGAGGAGGGCCAGCTGCGCCTTGGGGACGCCCTCCTCGATGAGCTTGAGCCCCGTGACGGCGTCCGCCGCGGAGAACCCCACCTGGGCGGCGGAGGCGTCGGAGGCGACAGCGACGCCACAGCGACACCCTCGCTTAACTCGGCAACGCCGTCGCCTCGCTTGCCGCGGCAACGGCCGAGCGCGCTCCGTACGGTGACGTGCGTGTCGCAATCGTGTGCTTGCGTGTCCGCAATTTTGCGTGTGTGTGTGTGTATATACAATAATCCCTTGCCCTACTGCGAATTTAACAACCGCGAGATTTGAGTATGCGCAGATGAACTTCTGTATGCCTGTTTACTAAGCGCGAGACTTGAGTACACGCATATTTACTTCTGTATACCTGTTTACCAACCGTGAGATTTGAGTATACGCAGATGAACTTCTGTATGCCTACATTTTGATTTAAAGCTTTCGTGACTGCAGTAATTCATATTCTTAGTTCTTTCGGTAAAGTCACGTTGAAGGGAAACAATACAATAATAATATATATAAAACAATAAAAATTCTCACGACGTTTCGACCATAACAAATTTATGCAAACCGACACACCTGATGACGACCGTTTGTGTTATGGTCGAAACGTCGTGAGAATTTTTATTGTTTTATATACATTTTATTATTTCTGTATGCCTGTTTACCAACGGCGAGCATCTCGGTTTGAGCGATCCGCGAATCGTTAGTCGCGCCGAGTCGTCAAATCAAAATCAGCGCTGACGCATCCGCCATGTTGTCTCGCAGACTCTCGCGAGACTCGAGGCACCTCTGGGCCTGTAACCACGGGTAACAAAAGTGTTAAGGAAATCACATGACGTCGTTATTACGTCATTGCATTACAGCATGACATCATTGCATGACGTCATTGTTACAAATTTTGCGGGGCCGTGGCGCTGCTAAGCTGATCAGCCGCCCATCTGTCTTGTTGTACATACTGTACAGTACGTATGAATTGTGCTCTGAATCGTGGACCCAAAGCGTGCAGTGAGTGATGAGAGTGAGTTGCACTTGTGGCCGGGAGGAAGAGGGGGAGGCTGGGCTAAGATCCCTCCTCCTCCTAACCAGCCCTTCCCCCATCGCCTCATTGTCATCGTCGTCGTTAATATTAAAAGGTGTGCAAAGTTAACGTAATGTTTATTTATGTTTTATCATGTTCTCGTGTAATGCACTGTATTTTATTCGGTGTTTATTGACTAAAGAGGCAACTTAGTGAAGCTACCAACGAGTCTGACCGCTGCCGTGGCTCCCCTCACCTGCTATTTCCCATAAGCCCCTGTACTTTACCAAACGCGAATTTACCAACTGCGAGGGTTTTCAGGAACCTAACCCTCGTGGTTGGCGAGGGATCACTGTATATATATAACAAGGGCATGCGTGTCATAGTGAGCGTGCGTGTAAACAAGAGTGTGTCTGTGCGTTAAGTGATTTTGCGTTATTGTCTATCAGTGATGGGGAGCAGCGGCGCAGTGGTTAGCGCTGCACTGGGATCCCGGCAACCCGGGTTCGATTTCCGCTCGCAACCAATAAGCGGCAAGGATTTTAACCAGTCATGCATGGGCCCCCACGAGGTCGGGGCTGGACGGCGGCACCTTGCAGGTGAGCAGCAAGATGGCGAAGGTGCGAACGCTGGGCAGCTTCACGATGGAGAGCAGCTGGCGGTAGGTGGCCAGCACGCCCACGCCCTCCGCGTGCGTCTGCTCGTCGTGGCCGTCGGGCCGCTCGCTCTTGAGCAGCGCCACGAGCGTGGTGCTCACCAGGAACACCAGGCCCCAGAAGTGCAGGAAGTCTGCGGGGGGAGCGAGACGCTCGTCCGTTTTGGTTTCCGCCGGGGACCGCCGCGTCGTCCGCCGTGGAGCGGTCAACTGCCGCGAGTCGGCGTGCGTTCGGGTAAAGGTTGTTTGGACAATTACGAAAATAAAAATGTGTGCACGTCCATTAAAAAGTATACCACTTAAGACACGTGCCCATACATGAAAAAAATGAGTGCCCAATTTGTCTAACGCATGCGCTAAAAACAAAGTAAATAAAAAAAAGAGCACAGTTGTTTTAAACTTTGTAAGTAGAGTGGACCCAAAGAGTGACTAACCTAGAAGTAAGAGAGGTTGCACGTAGAAGAATACCTGATGATGCTGGCAGCGGTGAGAAGGAAACGGGCGTTACTCGGACACATGTGTAGGATGGACAACAACAGCAACATTAAAACTGCGTTGTTCGGAAAAATGGAACGAACCGGAAAGAGAGGAAGAGCTAACAGAGGATGGCTTGACGACGACGACGACATAGGAGATTGGTGCCAGAAAGATGTGGCTACTACGTGAGCATACTGGCACAAGACAGGAAAGTGGAAACAAATGATGAAATTTACAGTGGACACCCACGGGCTATCTGTCGACGGATGGTGATGATGATGATGAAGTGGAGCGGATACGCCGAGGTATTAAGCGCGCAGCATCATGAACTCGCTTGACGTCAGTGGCGAGCGATGCGACAACCGATTCTGCCGATCCCCTTCACCGGTCCGCACTGCCCCAGCGTGGCGAAGGGTGGCCAAAGAGGTGCGGGGGAGGTCTTCATCCAGCAGCGGATCTGCACGGGAGCCTCCCCAGCGCGCGCACAGGCGGAGCCCTCACCCGCGAGCGTGACGATGCCGGTGGGCTGCGGCGAGAAGCGCAGGTACGTGTTGCAGAACTCGGGCGACTCGAGCGCCAGGAAGAGCACGTTGCCCAGGAAGTAGCCGGCCGTCTGACCCACCGAGTTGCACGTGGACGCGTGGCCAACGTTCTCCTGCAGCGACGTGAAGTGATCAACGAATCAGCCAATGATCGCGTGGAGACCAACAAGCGTTTATTAGTTTTATATTATACTGCCTGGGGTACACTTGGTATGTTTCACTAAATGGCTTGTAAATGATACATTCTGAGTATTTGGCATTCAGGTAAATGTTGTGTAAATGGTTCTGAAACTGGTTTGTTGACGTGAAGTGCGCTGTAGGAATACTGTGCATGTCGATTGGCTTTTTTTATCTCCATGATACTGATATTGTGCTATTAATGTCGTGTCACGAGCGGACGAGATTCGCTGCCAGGACTCTCTCAGCGAGGGGTGTAATGTCGCGTCTTGTCAGAGAACGGCCCCGGAGGATGTCACGGAACTTAGCAAGTTACTTTAAATTTCGATTTAAAGCTTTCGTGACTGCAAGGATTCATCTTCTTGGTTCTTTCGGTAAAGTCACGTAGAATGGGGATAAAATAATAATAATAAAAATTCTCACGACGTTTCGGAAGCAATACAAGCTTCCGTCTTCAGGTGGGACAGTCACAGCAAGATCGCTGCATCAAGTGGGGAGGGCTCTGAGAGCCTCGAGCTTAAATACAGGTTAAAGGGGGGGGGGGAAGGAGGGCGGGGCCAAGTGGGGGATATTGATGGGGTGAGGGGCTAAGTTAATCATTCTTTTGTTCTGTTGATGGTGCGGTACGTCCGGTGGGCCACTGCACGGGGGCAGTGGGAACATTTTTTTGGTTATACAATGCGTTACTGTGTACTACCCTATACTTTAGACTATAAAAAAAATATTAGACTTGTAATATTACACTATGTCTTATTCTGTCAACCTTAATGTATGACACACTGCTGTATATTCATTATGCAATTACGATACTATATATTGCCTTATGAATTATGTTAAACATTACGATGCTGTACTATTTATTATACATGTTATAAACCATACCATTGACTGTGGTGTGAAAGATATCAAGAGGCAGTGCTAGAAAATGGACTGCGGTCTGAATGTCACCGTAAAATACAATCAATTAAGAACTGAAATGATTTATAACATCTTTCCAATGGTTACTAAGCCAGAATCCATCTTCTCGGTTTAAATTGTCTCTGTGTTTGTATATGTGGATGGCCTCATGAACGAATCTCTCATGGTAGCCGGATGGCTTGCAAAGAACCTCCGTCTTGGAGAAGTCAATGTCATGTGAGCCCACTGAATTATAACAGTGATCTGCCAAGGCCGAGGAGTTAGTCCTACCGTGTTTCAAGTCTGCTTTATGTTCGCGGATGCGGTCCGAGATATGTCGTTTGGTTTCTCCAATGTAGCTGCTACCACAGAGGCAACTTAGTTTGTAAATACCCGGGTACTGTATATTTGGAAGAGCATCTTTTACAGACGGAACCAGATCACGGATTTTATGTACTGTGTTGAATCGGACCTGGATCTTGTGTTTATTCAGGATTTTGGAAATCTTTTTTGTGACCCCAGCAATGTAGGGTAAGGTGATGGTTTTGAATAGCTCCTCAAGAGGAACCTTCTTCGTCACTGGAGTGATGGCTTTGCGGATTGTGTAGTCGGAGTAACCATTAGCCTTGAGAGCTTGGTGTACGTATTTGAGTTCACTGGCAATGTGATCTAGGTCGGAAATTCACTGGGCTCTATGGTATAGAGTCTTGATGAGGGAATTCTTCTGGGATGGATGGTGGTGTGAATCCGGTTTTAAGTAAGCATCCGTATGGGTAGCTTTCCTGTAGACAGAGTGGCTCATTGAACCATCAGGTCTCCTTTTAATTAAGACATCCAAAAAGGGTAGCTTGCCATCTTTTTCGACCTCCATGGTGAATCTGATGGCTGGGTGTATGGAATTGATGTGGTCGAGGAATTGGTCTAGAGCATGAAGGCCATGTGGCCAGATGACAAAGGTGTCATCCACCTACCTCTTCCATACGGTCGGGCGTAGAGTGGCAGTCTGGATGGCGTCAGTTTCAAATTTTTCCATGAACACGTCGGCTACAACCGGAGATAGGGGGGAGCCCATTGGGGTGCCCTCAGTTTGTTTGTAGAAAGTTCCATTCCAGGTGAAGTATGTGTTGGTTAAGCAGTGTCTCACCAGGGGGGGTACATCAGTACGCAGTCCTTGGTGAACCAAGTCTTCAATGATTGCGATGGTGTCAGGTATCGGAACTTTGGTGAATAAGGAAACCACATCAAAAATTTTCCCACTGCCCCCGTGCAGTGGTCCACTGGACGTACCACACCATCAACAGAACAAAAGAATTATTAACTTAGCCCCACACCCCATCAATGTCCCACAATTGGCCCCGCCCTCCTTCCCCCCCCCCCCTTTAACCTGTATTTAAGCTCGAGGCTCTCAGAGCCTCCCCACTTGATCAGCGATCTTGCTGTGACTGTCCCACCTGAAGACGGAAGCTTGTGTTGCCTCCGAAACGTCGTGAGAATTTTTATTTTTATTATTATTCTATCCCCATTCCATGTTACTTTAATTGAGCTCTTATCTATTTGAACAAAAAAATCAACACGTTCGTTGTGGCCTTCATAGAAAAATGTAAAAAGAGGCGACACTTGTGGACAACATGAGGCTTGATGAGAAATAAAATTGTTAAAATGTTTCTGAGGGAGCATTTATAAATTGGCAAATGAAGCTACCAATAAGTAGATAACGAGTAAGACAAACCCTACATGAAATCGAAAAGTATAACTAAATTAACTAATTTGTATTGAAAGTAAAATTGTAAAATGTTCCTGGCACATTACATTATGGGTAACCGTGTTGCAGCAATTCCTATCCACGCAAAGTTACGCACCTTTTTATGTGCCCTGCAAATATCAACATATATAGTCCCCACCGCCAGAATACGCAGAAGGAAGTAAAACATTAATATTTAATACGCTGGTTTTCTTGTGCAGTCATTGGTGACTGTGCTGAGAGCATCCCCTCCCTAAACTTGAGAACAATGATCTCATCGTGGGTAGCTGAGACAAGTCCAAACACCCTCTAAAGAGGGAGTTTCCTCGAGTGGAGGCCATTTGTTAATTTGCTGTCCTTCCCACGCATCTCCGATGAGCACGGATGGCTACGTACGGTGCGAAAGAAGTCCAACATTCTGCCAGCGGTGGCGTGAGCAAGCAATTGCAGGGCTGTACCTCTACCTAAATGTACCTGCATCTCAAATTTGGGATTTCGGTGCCGTGACAGGGTACTAGCCACCACCCCCCCAACTCCCCACCGAGCCGCGACCACACGTCTGCTTAAAACCGGCATCACTTTCCCCCCGCCTGCGCCGCTGCCGCCTTCTGCTCGCTCGCGCTCACGAAGCGCCGGCACCTTAGAGAGCATGGTGAGTGCCCAGCCGTCCACGGCGATGTCCTGGGTCGCCGCCAGGAACTCGAAGAGGAAGAAGGTGGCGGTGAGCATCATGATGTGGGGCCCCTCCAGCAGGTGGTCTACGTGCCGTGCCAGCAGCAGCATGAAACCGCCCAGCAGGTACTGCGTGGGCACCAGCCACGACTTGCGGCGGCCGAAGCGGCGGCTGTAGACGGCGTCGACCAGCGGCGCCCACAGCAGCTTGAGGCTGAACGGCCAGAAGACGAAGCTGAACAGCGCCTGGTCCTTGTAGCTGATGCCGCGGCTCTGCAGCACCATCGGCACGCTGCCCGCCAGCCCCAGCGGGATGCCCTGCCGGAGGGAGCGGCCGAGCGGTCGGCAAGGGCTCGCGCACCGTCGCGCTCGCGCGCCGCCACTTGGGCGCACGTCCGCTCACACGTGCATTCGCGCGCAAACGCAAACACTCACTTGCGCGTGCAATCGCGTACTCGCAGGGCGAGCTTATGCCCGCTCACTCGCACACAAACGCACGCACACAAACGCACGCACAAAAACACACGCACACAAACGCACGCACGCACGCCCGCTTGCTCGCGCGGCGTGCCACGGGGCCCGCACCTGCAGGACGTAGAGGAAGAAGAGCAGCGCGATGGTGCGGCCCTCGCCGCGCACGCTGCCCCGTCCGCGCGAGGCCAAGCCAACGTCCGTCGCGTCGCCGCTAGGCGACCCCGATGGCCGCTCCTGCGCCCCGTCCATCCTGGCACTCCCTGAGAAACCATCACTGCCGCTCACGGCTCCATCGTGCTGGTGAGAAAGGGGTGGGCACAGAGCCGCGGCCGTTTTGAGATATTTTGAGTTCGCTGTGAGCCGCTGCTTGTATGTAAAGAGGCAACGCTTGATTCCATTGATAAAATGACCTTGGGTAAACAAGAAGAACAAGTCTATTTGATCTACTTACTTCAAAATTGCATTCCAATTGTGCTATCAATTTCATGTCATGAGACGAAGTGTCGATTCAAAACCCTCGCACACCACTGCATCAATCCGTGATATAAAAAATCCAGCAGAGGCAGAATTAAAATCTGTAAGTGACGCGAAAACCCATCAAATCTAAAATCAGTGGAGGCCGGAGGCCAATTTAGCAGAACTTTTTCTGGGATTCATAATAAAGGTTTTTGGGTTAGATCGCATTATTTATAAATGTGTCGTAACCCTCCACCACCCGACATGGCCAATCAGCAAAAAAAGTGTCACGTTGACAAAAGACAAATAGTTCACTACTTTAGCCCACCGGTGTGTTGAAGAGTGAATCCACAACGTTTACAGTTTGAATACGACGTTTCGCTGGCAATTACATCCAGCATCATCGGGCAATTCGCCTTCCAGTGCACTCCGATCGTGTTTTTGTTGTTGTTGTTTTTCTGTTAAAGCTGCTGCCCGCACGGATCAAACCAAAGACCAGCGGCCTCTGCGTTGCAAGTCCGGAGAGAGCTAAACCACTGTTTACTTTGTTACACCACGGCACAACCCCACCATTCCATGTGCGTATACTTGTCGTTGGGGGGGGAAGCTAAAACAAGACCGAGAACACCGGACACCTGTATGAGCGGGAGCCTGGCGCTGCCCTCGTCCAGACCGTCGAGCCGCGTGTCAGGCGTCCACGAAAGCGTGCGCCGGTGGCCGCGCTTGCGATTCGATGCCGCCGCAGACATGGCCAGGTGGAGTGGAGACACGAGACTCGCGTCACGGGAAGGGTCCTCCGGTGGCACCGACACCACCGTCTCCTGAGACACAGAGATACACGGGTGGGACAGAGACACGGATGAGATAATGATACAGAGGAGGGGAGACAACAGAGGGAGTGGAGACAGGGTGGATGAGGACACAAACGGAACAGGGACACGGCGGAGATGGAGATAATCAGATGACAATGACACAGATGGATTGAGACATGGTCAGTGCAGAGACATGGGGGACAGAGAAGCACAGGATCTATTCATCCATTCATGGACAGAATTACATCCTGTTAATGTTGTATTTAAATATATAATGACACCACAGAGTTGGCACTAGTGTGTACTAAAGAGCCATAAAAAGCACTTCACTCAATGTAAAATATAATTTTCTCATTAACGAAGCTCATAATTAACATGGAACAGTCCAGAACGCACAGCCTCGGTGTGTAACTACAATGTGAGAGCTATTTGTATTTTATAATGTGTCTACTTTAACTGGCACAAGTGATAAAGTGATGCTGATTTCTTTGGATACCTTGGTCTGCAGGTTATGTTTTGATGTGGGGAGCTGAAGCATAGAGGGTGTTGTGAGAGCAGAAAAGTGAACAGCTCCTGCTGTAGAGCGCAGAGCAAAAGCGACAGGCATCAGCAGCCATCAGTAAACATGCACAAGTAACCCAGCCAGCTGAATGTAACAATGCAATCCGTGTTCGCTATATCGAGAATGTACATGACGAAGGCTGGACTCGCATGTGCGTCGTGAGTGTAATTATCTGCCAAGGTGGCGCTGTGGTCAGTGTTCAACTTATCCACAAAAAGTTAAGAGTTCACATCCGGGATCAGCAGGTTGACTCGGTCCATTATCCTTCCATGGGCGATAAAATAAGTACAACTATGTCTGAAGTCAACAGTGCTCATGATATAGATCTGCTGGCCCCTGCCATATCAATGTGGAATTTCCAGCACTGGCGGCAGATTGCCAGGGAAGATGTACACACCCAAAGCCTAATTGAGAGAGGAGACGATTTTAACTTGTTTTTCCGTTAAAGCTGAATGCAAAACGTGAACTAGGCACAGGGCACGTCACCTGAATATTAAACTGTGTACTCAGGGTGTGTGCATAGTCGACGAATAAACGCGAAGAAATATGCAGGTATTTTTGGTAATTTATTAATTTACTTCCAACGGGTTTTACCAGGCATGTACTCTTTACGTAACACTTTCTAGCAACTTCTTTCAATCTATGTCCCTAACCACTGCCTCGCACGCCACACGACTGTGCCCGCACACCCATTGTGAGACACGTGTTCATCACCTCTGCCATGAAAAATTGCGAGACAGCCGTGCCCCCCATGAGACACTGAGAGAGCCATGCCCCTGTGAGACACTGAGAGAGCCATGCCCCTGTGAGACACTGAGAGAGCCATGCCCCTGTGAGACACTGAGATAGCCCCCTGTGAGACACTGGGACAGCCATGCCCCCTGTGAGACACTGAGACAGCCATGCCCCCTGTGAGACACTGGGACAGCCATGCCCCCTGTGAGACACTGAGAGAGCCATGCCCCTGTGAGACACTGAGAGAGCCATGCCCCCTGTGAGACACTGAGAGAGCCATGCCCCTGTGAGACACTGAGATAGCCATGCCCCCTGTAGACACTGAGATAGCCATGCCCCTGTGAGACACTGAGAGAGCCATGCCCCCTGTGAGACACTGAAAGAGCCATGCCCCTGTGAGACACTGAGAGCCATGCCCCTGTGAGACACTGAGAGAGCCATGCCCCCTGTGAGACACTGAGCCATGCCCCCTGTGAGACACTGAGAGAGCCATGCCCCCTGTGAGACACTGAGAGAGCCATGCCCCTGTGAGACACTGAGAGAGCCATGCCCCCTGTGAGACACTGAGCCATGCCCCTGTGAGACACTGAGAGAGCCATGCCCCCTGTGAGACACTGAGAGAGCCATGCCCCTGTGAGACACTGAGAGAGCCATGCCCCTGTGAGACACTGTGACAGCCATGCCCCCTGTGAGACACTGAGAGAGCCATGCCCCTGTGAGACACTGAGCCATGCCCCTGTGAGACACTGAGAGAGCCATGCCCCTGTGAGACACTGAGAGAGCCATGCTCCCTGTGAGACACTGAGAGCCATGCCCCTTGTGAGACACTGAGATAGCCATGGCTCTGTGAGACACTGAGAGAGCCATCCCCCCTGTGAGACACTGAGAGAGCCATGCCTCTGTGAGACACTGAGATAACCATGCCCCCTGTGAGACACTGAGAGAGCCATCCCCCCTGTGAGACACTGAGAGAGCCATGCCTCTGTGAGACACTGAGATAACCATGCCCCTGTGAGACACTGAGAGAGCCATGCCTCTGTGAGACACTGAGAGAGCCATGCCCCTGTGAGACACTGGGACAGCCATGCCCCCTGTGAGACACTGAGATAGCCATGCCCCCTGTGAGACACTGAGAGAGCCATGCCCCCTGTGAGACACTGAGAGAGCCATGCCCCTGTGAGACACTGAGAGAGCCATGCCCCTGTGAGACACCGAGCCATGCCCCCTGTAGACACTGGGCCAGCCATGCCCCCTGTGAGACACTGAGAGAGCCATGCCCCCTGTGAGACACTGAGAGAGCCATGCCCCCTGTGAGACACTGAGAGAGCCATGCCCCTGTGAGACACCGAGCCATGCCCCCTGTAGACACTGGGACAGTCATGCCCCCTGTGAGACACTGAGAGAGCCATGCCCCCTGTGAGACACTGAGAGAGCCATGCCCCCTGTGAGACAATGAGCCATGCCCCCTGTAGACACTGAGAGACAAGCCATGCCCCCTGTGAGACACTGAGAGAGCCATGCCCCCCGTGAGACACTGAGATAACCATGCCCCTGTGAGACACTGAGCCATGCCCCTGTGAGACACTGAGAGAGCCATGCCCCCTGTGAGACACCGAGAGAGCCATGCCCCTGTGAGACACTGAGATAACCATGCCCCCTGTGAGACACTGAGAGAGCCATGCCCCCTGTGTGACACTGGGATAGCCATGCCCCCTGTGAGACACTGAGATAACCATGCCCCCTGTGAGACACTGAGAGAGCCATGCCCCTGTGAGACACTGAGATGACCATGCCCCAGTGAGACAGTGAGATAGCCATGCCCCTGTGAGACACTGAGATAGCCATGCCCCTGTGAGACACTGAGATGACCATGCCCCAGTGAGACACTGAGAGAGCCATGCCCCTGTGAGACACTGAGAGAGCCATGCCCCCTGTGAGACACTGGGATAGCCATGCCCCCTGTGAGACACTGAGATAACCATGCCCCCTGTGAGACACTGAGAGAGCCATGACCCTGTGAGACACTGAGATAACCATGCCCCTGTGAGACACTGAGATAGCCATGCCCCCGTGAGACACTGAGAGAGCCATGCCCCTGTGAGACACTGAGAGAGCCATGCCCCCTGTGAGACACTGAGAGAGCCATGCCCCTGTGAGACACTGAGATAACCATGCCCCTGTGAGACACTGAGATAGCCATGCCCCCGTGAGACACTGAGAGAGCCATGCCCCTGTGAGACACTGAGAGAGCCATGCCCCCTGTGAGACAATGAGCCATGCCCCCTGTAGACACTGAGAGACAAGCCATGCCCCCTGTGAGACACTGAGAGAGCCATGCCCCCCGTGAGACACTGAGATAACCATGCCCCTGTGAGACACTGAGCCATGCCCCTGTGAGACACTGAGAGAGCCATGCCCCCTGTGAGACACCGAGAGAGCCATGCCCCTGTGAGACACTGAGATAACCATGCCCCCTGTGAGACACTGAGAGAGCCATGCCACCTGTGTGACACTGGGATAGCCATGCCCCCTGTGAGACACTGAGATAACCATGCCCCCTGTGAGACACTGAGAGAGCCATGCCCCTGTGAGACACTGAGATGACCATGCCCCAGTGAGACAGTGAGATAGCCATGCCCCTGTGAGACACTGAGATAGCCATGCCCCTGTGAGACACTGAGATGACCATGCCCCAGTGAGACACTGAGAGAGCCATGCCCCTGTGAGACACTGAGAGAGCCATGCCCCCTGTGAGACACTGGGATAGCCATGCCCCCTGTGAGACACTGAGATAACCATGCCCCCTGTGAGACACTGAGAGAGCCATGCCCCTGTGAGACACTGAGATAACCATGCCCCTGTGAGACACTGAGATAGCCATGCCCCTGTGAGACACTGAGAGAGCCATGCCCCCTGTGAGACACTGAGAGAGCCATGCCCCCTGTGAGACACTGAGAGAGCCATGCCCCGTGAGACACTGAAAGAGCCATGCCCCTGTGAGACACTGAGAGAGCCATGCCCCCTGTGAAACACCGAGAGAGCCATGCCCCCTGTGAGACACCGAGAGAGCCATGCCCCTGTGAGACACTGAGATAACCATGCCCCCTGTGAGACACTGAGAGAGCCATGCCCCCTGTGAGACACTGAGATAACCATGCCCCTGTGAGACACTGAGATAGCCATGCCCCCTGTGAGACACCGAGAGACAAGCCATGCCCCCTGTGAGACACCGAGAGACAAGCCATGCCCCCTGTGAGACACCGCAAGACAAGCCATGCCCCTGTGAGACACCGAGAGAGCCATGCCCCTCTGAGACACCGCAAGACAAGCCATGCCCACTGTGAGACACCGCAAGACAAGCCATGCAGGGGCCCTGTAACACAGCTACGCCGCGGTCGCGAGTGATACTCACACGTGCTCGTCTGTAAACGGAGCTCGACGCTGAGCTCCGCTCGGCAATGGAGGCGCGCGAAACCCGGCGAGCTTCGCGTTGTGAGGGGGTGCCCAGCTCGGGTGCCAGGCTTGGTGCCAGGCTAGGTTCCCCGGTGCGCGCGTGACCGTCCAGCTGAGCCCGGGCCTCACCGTGACCTCTGACCCCGCAGAACCCTCGCGCGATGCACCCCCACACCACCACCACTCAGCCCCCCCCCCCTATCCCCCCTCCCAATTGGTCGCCTTGCCCACACGTGATCCGCCGAGACGTCTCACGATTCGCTGACGGTGCTCCGGGCCGACGAACCAATCGGCGCCCGTCCACCACCCCCCCCCGCCATGCCAACGAAGGTTCACAAACTGCGAATGAGTTTACGTCAATTAGGGGGGGTGGTGACGGTGAGGCCTCGATCAACGTTCGGGTCGCGAATTCGCGAGGATGATGTTCAAGTGCGGCCGTTTGAACTCGTTCGCGATGAGGTGCACGGGGAGGGGATAAACGCTTTCATTAACTCATTCATTCATCGCTCGACGCTTTGCCGGTTGGTTAAAGTGGCCAATCAGCGCGCGTGCGCGCGGAAGCGGTCACGTGCTCGCCGCCGGCCAATGGGGCGCGGCCACGTCCCGTAGGTCACCCGGCGTTTGCCGTCGGCTCAGGGTCGATCCGCTGCTGGATGAAGGCCTCGCCGCTACCCCCCCTCACCACCACCCTCACCACGACCCACCCCCCTCACCACCCCCCTCACCACCACCACCCCTGTCCTCTGCACGAGTTGACGTAGACACCGCTCCGTCGCCCCGTGTTGACGGCCGCCCGGACGCGTGCCCCGCTGTGGCGGCTGCTGCTGCGCCTGCTTAGTCCCTGGTCCCTTCACGCCGTGACATCGCCTCCCAAACCCACACACCACCAACCCAGCCACTGTCTCACCCACCCAGCCACTCTCTCACCCTCCCAGCCACTCTCTCACCCAGCCACTCTCTCACCCAGCCACCCTCTCACCCAGCCACCCTCTCACCCAGCCACTCTCTCACCCAGCCACTCTCTCACCCAGCCAATCTCTCACCCAGCCACTCTCTCACCCACCCAGCCACTCTCTCACCCACCAAGCCACTCTCTCACCCTCCCAGCCACTCACCCACCCAGCCACTCACCCACCCAGCCACTCTCTCACCCTCCCAGCCACTCTCTCACCCACCCAGCCACGCTCTCATCCACCCAGCCATCCTCTCACCCACCCAGCCACCGTCTCACCCACCCAGCCACACTCACACCCACCCAACCACACTCTCACCCACCCGGCCACTCTCTCACCCACCCGGCCACTCTCTCACCCACCCAGACACTCTCTCACCCACCCAGCCACTCTCTCACCCAGCCACTCTCTCACCCAGCCACCCTCTCACCCAGCCACTCTCTCACCCAGCCACTCTCTCACCCACCCAGCCACACTCTCACCCACCCAGCCACCCTCTCACCCACCCAGCCACCCACCCAGCCACCCTCTCACCTACCCAGCCACACTCTCACCCACCCGGCCACTCTCTCACCCACCCAGACACTCTCTCACCCACACAGCCACGCTCTCACCCACCTAGCCACACTCTCACCCACCCAGCCACTCTCTCACCCACCCAGACACTCTCTCACCCACCCAGCCACTCTCTCACCCACCCAGCCACTCTCTCACCCAGCCACCCTCTCACCCAGCCACTCTCTCACCCAGCCACTCTCTCACCCACCCAGCCACACTCTCACCCACCCAGCCACCCTCTCACCCACCCAGCCACCCTCTCACCCACCCAGCCACCCTCTCACCCACCTAGACACTCTCTCACCCAGCCAGCCACACTCTCACCCACCCAGCGACTCTCTCACCCACCCAGCCACTCTCTCACCCACCCAGCCACTCTCTCACCCACCCAGCCACACTCTCACCCACCCAGCCACTCTCTCACCCACCCAGCCACACTCTCACCCACCCAGCCACTCTCTCACCTACCCAGCCGCTCTCTCACCCACCCAGCCGCTCACTCACCCACCCAGCCACACTCTCACCCACCCAGCCACTCTCTCACCCACCCAACCACACTCTCACCAACCCAACCACATTCTCACCCACCCAGCCACACTCACACCCACCCAACCACACTCTCATCCACCCGGCCACTCTCTCACCGACCCAGACACTCTCTCACCCACACAGCCACTCTCTCACCCACCCAGCCACTCTCTCACCCACCCAGCCACTCTCACCCACACAGCCACCTCTCACCCACCCAGCCACCCTCTCACCCACCCAGCGACTCTCTCACCCACACAGCCACTCTCTCACCCACACAGCCACTCTCTCACTCACCCAGCCAGATTCTCACCCACCTAGACACTCTCACCCACCCAGCCACACTCTCACCCACCTAGACACTCTCTCACCCACACAGCCACTCTCTCACCCACCCAGCCACTCTCTCACCCACCCAACCACATTCTCACCCACCCAGCCACACTCACACCCACCCAACCACACTCTCATCCACCCGGCCACTCTCTCACCGACCCAGACACTCTCTCACCCACACAGCCACTCTCTCACCCACCCAGCCACTCTCTCACCCACCCAGCCACTCTCTCACCCACCCAGCCACTCTCACCCACACAGCCACTCTCTCACCCACCCAGCCACCCTCTCACCCACCCAGCGACTCTCTCACCCACACAGCCACTCTCTCACCCACACAGCCACTCTCTCACTCACCCAGCCACTCTCACCCACCCAGCCACTCTCTCACCCACCCAGCCAGCCACTCTCTCACCCACCCAGCCAGCCACTCTCTCACCCACCCAGCCAGCCACTCTCTCACCCACCCAGCCACTCTCTCACCCACCCAGCCACACTCTCACCCACCCAGCCACTTTCTCACCCTCCCAGCCACTCTCTCACCCACCCAGCCACTCTCTCACCCACCCAGCCACTCACCCTCCCAGCCACACTCTCACCCACCCAGCCACTCTCTCACCCTCCCAGCCACTCTCTCACCCACCCAGCCACTCTCTCACCCACCCAGCCACTCTCTCACCCACCCAGCCACTCTCTCACCCTCCCAGCCACTCTCTCACCCACCCAGCCACTCTCTCACCCACCCAGCCGCTCTCTCACCCACCCAGCCGCACTCTCACCCACCCAGCCACACTCTCACCCACCCAGCCACTCTCTCACCCTCCCAGCCACTCTCTCACCCACCCAGCCACCCTCTCACCCACCCAGCCACTCTCTCACCCACCCAGCCACTCTCTCACCCAGCCAGCCACTCTCTCATCCACCCAGCCACTCTCTCACCCACCCAGCGACGTCTCACCCACCCAGCCACTCTCTCACCCTCCCAGCCACTCTCACCCACCCAGCCGCTCTCTCACCCACCCAGCCACTTCTCACCCACACAGCCACTGACTCACCCACCCAGCCACACTCTCTCCCTCCCAGCCACACTCTCACCCACCCAGCCCCACTCTCACCCACCCAGCCACTCTCTCACCCACCCAGCCACTCTCTCACCCACCCAGCCACTCTCTCACCCACACAGCCACTCTCTCACCTACCCAGCCACTCTCTCACCCACCCAGCCACTCTCTCACCCACCCAGCGACTCTCTCACCCTCCCAGCCACTCTCCCACCCACCCAGCCACTCACCCTCCCAGCCACACTCTCACCCACCCAGCCACTCTCTCACCCACCCAGCCACTCTCTCACCCACACAGCCACTCTCTCACCTACCCAGCCACTCTCTCACCCACCCAGCCACTCTCTCACCCACCCAGCGACTCTCTCACCCTCCCAGCCACTCTCCCACCCAGCCACTCTCTCACCTACCCAGCCCCTCTCTCACCCACCAAGCCACTCTCTCACCCAGCCAGCCACTCTCTCACCCAGCCACACTCTCACCCACCCAGCCACTCTCTCACCCACCCAGCGACTCTCTTACCCACCCAGCCACTCTCACCCACCCAGCCACTCACCCACCCAGCCACTCTCTCACCCACCCAGCGACTCTCTCACCCACCCAGCCACTCTCTCACCCACCCAGCTACTCTCTCACCCACCCAGCCACTCTCTCACCCACCCAGCGACTCTCTCACCCACACAGCCGCTCTCTCACCCACCCAGCCGCTCTCTCACCCACCCAGCCACACTCTCACCCACCCAGCCACTCTCACCCACACAGCCACTCTCTCACCCACCCAGCCACCCTCTCACCCACCCAGCGACTCTCTCACCCACCCAGCCACTCTCTCACCCACACAGCCACTCTCTCACCCAGCCACTCTCACCCACCCAGCCACTCTCTCACCCACCCAGCCAGCCACTCTCTCACCCACCCAGCCAGCCACTCTCTCACCCACCCAGCCACTCTCTCACCCACCCAGCCACACTCTCACCCACCCAGCCACTTTCTCACCCTCCCAGCCACTCTCTCACCCACCCAGCCACTCTCTCACCCACCCAGCCACTCACCCTCCCAGCCACACTCTCACCCACCCAGCCACTCTCTCACCCTCCCAGCCACTCTCTCACCCACCCAGCCACTCTCTCACCCACCCAGCCACCCTCTCACCCTCCCACCCGCTCTCTCACCCACCCAGGCGCTCTCTCACCCACCCAGCCACTCTCTCACCCACCCAGCCACTCTCTCACCCACCCAGCCACTCACCCTCCCAGCCACACTCTCACCCACCCAGCCACTCTCTCACCCTCCCAGCCACTCTCTCACCCACCCAGCCACTCTCTCACCCTCCCAGCCGCTCTCTCACCCACCCAGCCGCACTCTCACCCACCCAGCCACACTCTCACCCACCCAGCCTCTCTCTCACCCACCCAGCCACTCTCTCACCCACCCAGCCACTCTCTCACCCACCCAGCCACTCTCTCACCCTCCCACCCGCTCTCTCACCCACCCAGCCGCTCTCTCACCCACCCAGCCACACTCTCACCCACCCAGCCACCCTCTCACCCACCCAGCCACTCTCTCACCCAGCCAGCCACTCTCTCATCCACCCAGCCACTCTCTCACCCACCCAGCGACGTCTCACCCACCCAGCCACTCTCTCACCCTCCCAGCCACTCTCACCCACCCAGCCCCTCTCTCACCCACCCAGCCACTTCTCACCCACACAGCCACTGACTCACCCACCCAGCCACACTCTCTCCCTCCCAGCCACACTCTCACCCACCCAGCCCCACTCTCACCCACCCAGCCACTCTCTCACCCACCCAGCCACTCTCTCACCCACCCAGCCACTCTCTCACCCACACAGCCACTCTCTCACCTACCCAGCCACTCTCTCA